TGAAGACACGATCCAGATCATACCCAGCCAGTCAGCCACTGGTAAAGGCTGGATCTTTTTCTTACAGTGTTCAGTGAAAATATCGCGATGCATCACGATGCATCGCAATATTTCAAGTATCGTGATGCATTGTAATAGAATCGCATCGTGGCATGTGAATCATGATTTGAATTGAATCGTGACTTCTTTGCCAAGACCCACCCCTAGTTAAAAGTAGTTAGAATCTATGTTGAAGTGAGAAAGTCCTCCTGAAAACACGGTCTGTGCAGTCAGTTCATCCAACATTTTCAGGTTTCTACATTTGAAGTTAATTTAGGCGTTAATAAACTGTTTNAGTAATATTTCTGTCCAGTATTTGTTTCCATGGCAACACCTCCAAAAGTCGTTTCAATAAATACAGCTATGTATGAATTCAGTTGCTTTCAGTTATGTATCAATTGAAGACACGATCCAGATCATACCCAGCCAGTCAGCCACTGGTAAAGGCTGGATCTTTTTCTTACAGTGTTCAGTGAAAATATCGCGATGCATCACGATGCATCGCAATATTTCAAGTATCGTGATGCATTGTAATAGAATCGCATCGTGGCATGTGAATCATGATTTGAATTGAATCGTGACTTCTTTGCCAAGACCCACCCCTAGTTAAAAGTAGTTAGAATCTATGTTGAAGTGAGAAAGTCCTCCTGAAAACACGGTCTGTGCAGTCAGTTCATCCAACATTTTCAGGTTTCTACATTTGAAGTTAATTTAGGCGTTAATAAACTGTTTCAGAGGAGTGATCATAGCGCTCTGCATCAGCAGTGCTGCGTCTGACTCCCTGCCAGCTCCCAGATCAGCTTCTCTGATTGGTCGATGCGGCGCGTCCAGCAGATAAAGTTACATTTTTCCAATTACAGCAGCTGCTGCTTCTGAATTGCCTCAGATGCTCAGAAGCTCATGAGGCTCCTGCTGCTCTAGATGCTGCAGGAGCTTTTGCTGCTCCTTGATGCACGTAAAGCAGCTGCTTCTGCTGCTTTAGGTGTGAACGTAGCATTAGCAAATCCATGAATGGGATGCTGTCCAAAGGACATCCAGGGTTTGCCTTTTAAAATTTCCTATACACATAAAGATTTATATACCAGGAAATTTATAACTTTAGGTTAAATTATTAATCCATAACTTGTATCAATTACACAGCTGGTCTTTGATGTACGACATAAACTACATCAGACAAATCAGAGCAGCTGTATCTTTTATAAATAGTTGGGGGTTTTTAGTTTCAGGCGTCAATCCAGTCATTAAAGAATAAAAGAGGAAAGAATCACAACCAGGCTCCTGTTTTTACTAAATGCACTGATAAGGTTAATTTCATTACAGATTCCAGGAAGCAACATTTTTATGCTCCTAACGACGAACACACAGATTCTTTTCCCTGAGTGAGTCTGAAGCCACGTGCTAAAGTAAACACACTTTACTGCCTTGTTATTCTTTATTTCAAGTGGCGTTGAAAAGCAGGAGATAAAGTTACCGCTAACGAGGAGAGGACTTCACAGCCCATTGATTACTGCGTCCACCTGGGATTCAGGAAGCTGCTGCAGGCATTCAGGCCAGAACAACCAGACCTCCTCCTCTACAGCCTGACTAATGATCTGCTGCTCTCAGCGTATGAAAACAGTTAGAGAGATTTACGGGCGGACAAAACCAACATGAAGGGCCGAGTACAAGATGTGTTTGGATAATAAGACGGACCTTTCTTTCCTCGTGACTTCACCCCCCCTGCTCTAAAATCTTGACTCCTTTAGGGGCGTAATGAATCGTGACACGGACAGTCCGGCTTGCACAATGGTTCCCCCTTCCTTGTCCTTTCTGCGGTTAATTGGGAAACTAAGATGGATCTTTGTTCCCGGTTCAAAGGGAGCTTTCAGAAGAAATGCTGCATCTCATCGTTCCGCTCGTAATGGGGACGAGTTTAGATGAGGACACGGAGACTTGGACCACCCAGTCCATCATAAAACACTTGGGAACATGGCAGCTCTGGTGGAGAACTGAAACCCTGCCAATCTGTAGCAGCGCCGTTCTGTTCCTCCGACGGCTTTAGGAACGACTTCAAAAAAAATTATTTTCTGTTTGCTTCTGCAAATAAAAAGCTGTCAAAGTTTATTTTTTGTGACATACATCCTAATCATTAGGAACAGCATTCTGATTGGTCAATTTGAAAGTTTGAATTGGCCTTGAAATAAAGAGAAGGTGATCTGGAAATCAGAATTAAAATAAAATCCCCAAAACTCAATATTAAAAATAGGAATTTGAAAAAAAATAATTAAATATGTGAAATATTTAAAGAATAAAGTTTGATCAAAAATTGAAAATCTAAAATTTTTTATAAAACCTTTTATTTATTGAGCTTTTCAAAGTTTCTTTTCTGGATTGCATTTATTTTCCAATTCCAGCTTTATTATCTGCTTGGAATAACAATGGTGCAAATTTAACTCCATAGTTCAGTGCGTTTGTGCTTGAAGTCGAGTATAAAACCTTAACCCATAAATCCAATGTTTTAAAAAATCTCTAATATCACAGAATTACGGAGGAGGATTATGGCCACTGAAAAAAAAAAAAAAA